ATGGGATTAACAGGTTATGCTTGGGATTACAATTCGGGATTAAGATAGGAAGAAAATTGGGTTTATCGCTAGGATAGGAAAATCGATTATTGGGTAATAGGATAACTGGATGATATGGATCGTTAGTTAGAAGGTATACATTTATTTTCCTTATTTTGGTCCAGTTGTTATGACCGTATACATTTATTATTATTATTATTGTGTGGGGTATCTATATAGTTTTCTCATCTGGTTGGGTTCTATAAATATATAATTATAAATGAAAATGAAAAGATAAATATACATAAATATCAATGACATAAAATAAATATAAAAGTACATAAATAAGTAAAAGCCCAACCAGATGGAGGCCCTCGGCAGGGGAGACCAAACGGCCGAGGGTTAGGGGGAAAGGGAAAGAAACCGGCGGACGATGCGGGCGGTATCGAGGAGCACCGCCTTCTGCATTTGAACCTGGAGCGGTCCGCCACGTAGTCCCAGCCGCCTCAGATGACCCGAGAGGCTGACTGGGATTAGCCCGTTTGCAGAGACGACTACAGGAATAATTTCGGTCGGCAGACCACCCCACATGTCGGTCACCTCGTGAGCCAGGTCCAGATATTTTGTTTGCTTGTCTGTTTCGGCTTTCACGAGGTTCTCGTCATACGGAATGGTAATGTCGACCAAAAATATCCTTGACTGTGCCCGGTCCATCAGCACAATATCAGGCTTATTCGCAAGAATAGTCCTGTCTGTGATGATAGCCCGGTCCCAATAGAGCCTGGCGCGATCATTTTCGAGCACGGCTTCCGGCAAGTACTTGTAATACGGCAATTTCCGATCCACGAGACCGTATTTCAGAGCGAGCTCCTGGTGTAGAATTCTGGCTACTAGGTTGTGCCTGTGCAAGTACTCAGAGTTACAAAGCGCCGAACAACCGGAGATAACATGCCTAAGTGACTCACCGGGATGGCGACAAGCTCGACAGATGTCGACGGTGCCATCCTTTAGGATGTATCTCCGATAGTTGTTGGTCTTAATAACCTGATCCTGTATTGCACAGACAAAACCCTCGGTTTCCCCGAAGAGATCACCAAAGCGTAGCCAGTGGAGAGAGGCTACTGTATCTACGAAAGGCTCATGTAGAGCCTTGTAGAACCTCCCGTGGAGCTCCTTCTCCTTCCATACGGTCTCCCGGTCGGAAATGCTCTGCACTGCCGGGTCTTGCCATTGCTCGTTGGCTAAGGATAGAGCGGTAAGTCCTTTATCACAAGAAATGACGTCCTTATAGAATGGATCATCCGATCTCGCAAGGAAGTAATCACGGAGGCTGCACACTTCGCGATTATGCATGGTGAGCGCGCTCAAGAAGCCACGACCACCATGCTTCCGCGGCAAGTACAGCCTCATTACCGACGATCTCGGATGATGCATCCTATGGGACGTCATGGTAGTGCGGACTTTTCTATCCAGGGCGTTAAGTTCAGTCTGAGTCCACCTGAGTATGCCAAAGGTATACATGAGGACAGGCATGACCCAACCGTTATATGCGTGTGCCTTATTCACACCGGACAAAAGGCTGTTAAGCACTTTGGTCAAGCGTGCATAAAACACGTCGCAAACTGACTGTTTCATACCAGCCTCATCGATACCGATGTTCTGTGACATACCCAGGTATCGGTATGTTTCAGCCTCGGAAAGGGTTCTTAAGTTGACGGGCATAGATAAGTCTATGCCCTCAGAGTTAGCAACCCTTCCCCTATTATTATTATTATTATTAAAGAATTATGGTGAAAATCTATGCAATAAAAAGTTATAAAAAGTTCTTTAAAATTTACACTAACTACAGGGGCGCTACCCTTATTAAGCGCTTTCCTACGGACACTTTTTTATACAGAGTTTGTTCTCCTTACCTCTACACTCCATACGTTCTCTAACCTCCATGCACAGAATCATGAAGGTAAGAGAACAGGAGAACGATCACCGTAGAAAATAGTGTCCCAGAAATATGGATACCATCATGAGGCGCTGCTATCACTAAGTGCAGTCAATAAACCACTTGCACACAATAAAATATTTCTCCATTTTTTAATGTTTCTTTTTGTCAAAAATTACAAAATTACAGAGCATGAAAATTTTCTACGAAAAAGTGAAATTAAAATTTGTACATTATTCAACTAACATCACCTACTTGTACTCATAAACAGCTAACTTCGCAGTCACTACTCACCGACGTCAGCGCCACTATGTATTCTACAATTTTCAAGGACAGGCGGTTTATGCTTTATGGGTGATCGTTCTCCTGTAATTCTCTAACCTTCATGCACAGAATACAAAACCATCCTAGAATGTCATAGTGTAGTATATCTTATATCTGTGCAGTTGACTGTCAGTGCAGTGTCACTGTCAATGCCAATTGCCAATTTTCAATATGCACTAACCACTAACTACTGTACGTTAAACATCGATAGTTTGGTAATCCGATAGTATCGATAGTTTAACTAAAAACTATCGATAGTATCGATAGTCTATCGATAGTTTAAAAACTTGTAGGATTAGCGTAACATCAATAAAATAACAAATGTTATACGAAACGTAGAATTTTATTTTGATATATATATATTCGAAATAACAGTCAAACAATCAAAAATCAGTATTCATCATTATTATAGTTAGAAATCAATCATTAAAATAACAGCTATTTTGTTTTATAAACAACAATTCATTTAATCTTTTTTCTTTTAACCTATTTCTGCGTTCGGTTAAAATTTGTCCGGCCTTCGAAAATATTCGTTCTGAAGGCACAGAAGATGCTGGAATACAGAGATAGAGCATCGCTAATTCCTTCAATTTATTGTTGGTGTATTTCCAGTATGTTATAGGACACTCTTTTCTGTCAATTACTGGCTTCTCGAGATATTGCCTGACATCTACCAATGAGTTACTCAACGGGGTCGATACGTCCGGAACGTCTAGAAATCCCAACAGGTCATTAGATGTTCCTGAAGACGTGGATGGTGTTGGTTGCGTTTCTTCTACAGCCAAGCGTTCTTTAGTTAAATGGCTAGCATAGGCCTTTTCCAGCCACTGACCAGCTCGCTTCTCGTCGTCACTTGTTTTGAACCCCTTCTTCTTAAATCTGGGGTCCAATATTGTAGCAAGTACAACAGGTGTCCTGCTTTCATAGGGACTTAGTCTTTTGTTAACTGATCCCTTCATGCAGAGTAATATTTTGTTTCCGCTTTCAGTAACAATTTGAGATTCAACTTCTACTAATTTCGTTTTTATTCCACGAATCAATGGTATTATCAGTGACAATGTTATATAGCTTTCTCCGGAAATTTTTGTTGTAGCTAGATCGAAAGGTTCCAGAATTTGAATTGTTTCTTGAATAATTAGGTATTCGTCAGAATTGACTCCTGGTGGAGCCCGATTACATTCATTAAGTGCGAGAGTTAATTCTGTCTTCATTGTAACAATTCTTTGCAGCATGTGGTATGCACTGTTCCAGCGGGTGGGTACTTCCTGGATCACTTTCAGTTCTGGTTTATTTAATTCACGTTGAATAGCCCGTAATTTATCGCTAGCTAGAGTACTCATCTTGAAAAAAGTCACAATCGATTTACATTTTTTCAGAATCTGGTCTAAGCAGGTCACAGCAAACGAATCACTTACCGTCAGGTTTAGTGTGTGCGCAAAGCAGGGTATATGTCGTATATGCAGTTTGGCTGCGGCGTTAATCATTGTTTGAGCGTTATCAGTCGTTATTGCTTCACATTTTGACCTGATATCCCATTTTGAGAGAGATGATCCTTCCATCTTCACAACTTCCAATAATGGTGCAATTAATTTTTCGTTGTGAAAGAAATGACAAGTAACTGAAAGGATGCCTTCATTTGCAATTGATGTCCATAAGTCAGTAGTCACACTAACATGTTCTGCTTTCGATAATGCTATGACGAGCTTCTGTTTCACGTTTTCATAATATTCCGGCAGTAATTTCTTTTTCAATATTGTTGTATCAGGAATTTCATATCTACTATCGAGAGCATTTACAAAATCCCGAAATCCTTCATGTTCTCCTTTTCGCAAAGGTTCCATGTCAACAGCAATCATGCGCACGTATTTGTTATCCAAATTTTGCTTTGTTTTCCCATCTGGATATTTACTACTTCTATCAAAATAATTTTTTAGCGTATTTCTCTTTTTTAGGGCTTGGGCCCATTTTCTCATTTTGCTCAGTGGTATCTACGTCTTGAGTAACAGAAACAGTGGATGACCACATCCATACCTCATTATGTTTTCTCTTCATATGATCGATCAAGTTCGTAGTATTTCCACTTAGTTTAAACTCTCTTTTACACAAAGAACACTTGGCAAACTTTTCATTAGTCTTTTTGAAGTAATCCCACGCACGTGACTTACTACTCATGTTTTATTGTTTAATTCTAAATTGTTTGTTACTCCACTCAACTTCAAACATCCACAATAAAAAACTGACTGACTGACTTTTGTCTTGTAAATGAATGATATACGCACGGTAATTCCCCAACCATAGAGAAGAATCTCAATGTCTACGCCTTTGAATGTATGATATACGCACGGTAATTCCCCTACCATAGAGAACAATCTCAATGTCTATACCTTTGTCACTATAGCCGGGGAATAACTTACATACATGCTAACCTCGACTCTAGGGATGTAAAAGTAGTACCCGAGTAAACAATCGATCGATAGTTTTAAAAACTATCGATAGTATCGATAGCCATTTACTATCGATACCATCGATAGTCTATCGATGTTTAACGTTCACTACCAGCTACCACTAACGCTTTGCTATACATAGATAAGGTAAGAGCACAAATTATAAAGTTGTATGTACAAGAGTGTATATGGTTATATGAACGTGATATTATTTGATTTTGAATTTTGATAAAATTTTATTAAATAAAAATACATTGTCAACAGTAAAGATTTCCAAGCCTTTATCATATTATTGATGCAATTTCTGATATTCTGAAATGGCGCTGTTTCCAGCTTATGTTTCTAATGATACAAAGGAGACTTATGTAGAAGATGAGCCAGGTATGTTTGTGTCATGGATGTGTATTTGATATTTTAAATTGTATTAAACATTCAAAATATAAATTTAACAGTGCGGTGGGAGGCAAACTCTCAAGTTATATCAGAGAGTAATAACGCAATGGAAGCGCAGCTTCTGGCCAGCGATACAGAAGATGAAAACGACAAATGTATGCAAACTGAATCGAAGCCTGTTGTCAACAATGATGACTTTTACGTGGACTGTAAAATGGACCGCGGAAATCTGAGAGTCTCAACACTTTACTATCCAGGCAGGCCTCAGTAAGTAAAGTTTTATAACATTATTTATTAAGTTCATTAGGCCAAGTGAGATAAATAGCTCTTGGAAACTTCAACTCTTAAACAAGTTAAATAATGCAACTAATGCAGCTATTCGTCTTTATTTGTTATTTACAGACTTAACAATTGTTTATTTATTTGCCTGTGGCTCCACCCTAAGCAAGCTTGCTTAGTCAGATTAGATGGTAAGACAATGCACATGTTCGCACACAAGTGTTGTTTATATAAATTGTAGATAGCATTCAAATAAGTTTTAAAACAAAACAATAAAAAAAACAAGTTAGCCAAGATTATGCGAATGTAAAATAATTTTTAAAAACTATTTAAAATCGATTTTATTTCTAATTACGGCTATAATTCTAATTAAAAGAAGTCTTGAAAGAACTCTGAGCTCTGTCTGATACCTCATGCAACCCAAAGCGCTGACTACAGTTACTGCATACCGTCTAATGCTTATGCAGCCCCCTCTAGGTACCAACAGTAACAACCCTATGGTCTTGTGGTTGGATAACTCCTCCCCTTCTAAGAGCGGAATTATCGGCTTCAGTGTTATCAGCTGGTGTCCGATAATTCTGCCATCTTTAACTAAATTACTTTTATATTTTCTTAATGCACTAAAGATAATAACAATATGTAAAATAATGTACAGTAATAAAGTAGCTAAGCCCTCTAACACTAATCCTAATCGCACTGTTATCACTTTGATCACTATGTTCACTGCCACTGAATTTAAGATTTTTATTCAACATATAATATGATAGATGCTTCAGGTTGTCTAAGGCTAAGCCTTTCAGGTTAACTTGTAGTGTGTGCTTATATATATGTAGGATAGAATAGGAGAGAGAGTAATAAATCTACATGCAAGACCACTAGACGTATCATTTATTCCTCGAACCTCCCAACATTACATGGCGACCCAGCCAGGCGGTGCACTGCTACAATGCAAGCGCACCGCCGGGACCTGCATAGAAATTGAAGTAATTTATCGAAGAAGATAAATTAATTATTAAATCAAAATAAATATATAATAACAAAAAGAACATTATACCAGATGTGACACTTAAATTTTTAATTACGAATATAAAAAGAGACTACAATTTTTTTTGAGAAATTGAAGCCGATAATATACTTAAAGAAAAAATTTTATAGAAGAAATGAAGAAAAGACCTGAAAAATAAATTATACAAAAAGCTCCAGTAATACTGTTATTAAATCAAGATTGAAAAGTTCCAAGTAAGAAGATTCCAAGATACAGAAAACACCTTAATCAAAATTCCATCAAGAGAAGAATACCAACGTTATAAAAAATTTATATGAAAGAAAAAAGAAGAGTACGGAGAAGTCCAGGCCCGACCACATCGGTGAGCTAAGAACATCTTCGAGTGCCAGAGCAGCAGGAAGAAGTCAGGGGTACAATGAGCGACTAGTCAAGTTCTGTAGCAGGTACAAAACATCTCGAAAGCACCGAATGTAAGTTTAATTATATAATAGTGTCGATGTCTATTGTCAAATTATATTATTACTTATATAATGTTATAGACAGAACTGGGGAAAGAAAATTTTTAAATCATTCATTAAAAAAATAGGAAAAACATTAGTAATATTAATAAAAAAATTTGAAATTATGCATTATACCGCAATAATTAATCGGTAAATAACTACTTAATAATGATAATAATAATATTTGTTTTGCAACAATATGGATGTGCAATGGTGTTTTAAGTATAATTTAGTTCTACGATATTCTACGATATTCTACGATAGTAGAGATTGCAAAATCCGGATTTTTTTGAAATCCGAATTTTTGAATTTTCCTATGATTAAAATCCAGATAATCCGGATTTTTTGAAGTTTTGGGGTGATTTGATAAAACTGAAATAAAACAGCATAAATCATTTAAAATCTGACACGACGGAATAACATCAACCAAAATAAACAAAAACCGTGTAGTGGCGGTTAAGAATATCCACTACCCCATATCTTCCCGTGGGTGTGGTAAAAGGCCACAGAGGGAAGCAGGCAGAAGATGGGCAGCAGCATCTTCCTGATAAATGTAACAAAAAACTGCAGTTACCAACCCGCTCGCCAAGCGTGGCAACTATGGCAATATATGGGGGGTATATTGCCATGAGCAACGACGCAAATCGCAAATAGACGGCCCGCAGACCATGGTAACGGCAGGGCAGGGGTGCTAAGAATCTCCAGTGGAGGTTCAGTTGCCACCTAAAACGACTCGACCTGACAAATTACAACGCACGCACCTGAGGACTGACGAGAAGATCCTGGAGCTGGAAGAAGAGATAGACAAATTGTGTTGGAATATTATAAGATTATCCGAGGTCCGAAAAGAGGACACGGTGATTCTCGAATCCGGCAACTCGTTCTATCACCGAGAGGATGACCATCTGTCCCAAGGAGGTGTTGGATTTATCGTCCACAAGTCTCTCGTTAACAACTTTATAAAGATTGGGAGTGTGGCGACGAGGGGTGCGTACTTTATACTCAGAATCACCAAACGGTATTCGCTGAAGGTCATACAGGTTTACGCACCAACGTCGGCACATCCCGATGAGGAGGTGGAGGAAATGCATGAGGATATTTCTAAAACCATGCATTCCTTCAAAACCCAGTATACGGTGTTAATGGGAGATTTCAACGCAAAGCTAGGCACAAGAAAAATCAGTGAGCTGAAGATAGGGAAATTTGAGATAAGGCAACGGAACCCAAGGGGCCAGCAGCTGGCCGACTTCATGGAAAAAGAGGGATTCTTTATGATGAACTCTTTTCTTTCAGAAGCGGACCCACAGAAAGGGTCGAAAGTTGAAAAAATGACATTGATTTCATTATGACGACTAGTTCAGTAATGTCTCAGTGATCGCAAGGGTGAAAACTGGCAGCGATCACCGAATGGTTAGAGGCACACTGAACCTAAACGTTAAGTTGGAGAGGTCTCGTCTAATGAAGTCAACACTCAGTCCCCTCGTGCTCTAATCCAAAATCCCGAAAAGTTTCAGCTGGAGTTACAAAACCGTTTTCAGTGCCTAGAAGATTGCAATGCAGTGGACAATATGAATGACAAGCTCGTGGAACTGTCTATGCGGTCGGAGCTAATTTCTGCAAGACCCGCAGAAGAACACAAAAACTCTGATCACTCTCTTAATCTCATCGATGTTAGACAGGAAATGAAACTGCAGTCGTCAGCAGATTTGACAGCATACAGGCAACTGAACAGACAGGCGGGGCTTACGCAACTTCAATACAGCTCGTATTGAAGAAGCGATCGAGCGGAACAAGGGCACCAAAGTCTTTGGCAGAGGTCTGTCTGTCAGAAAGAGCCAACTGTCAAGGCTGAAGACTGACTGTGGCAGCATCGTTTCCGGGACATCTGAGATTTTGAGTGAGATTGAGAGGTTCTATGGGCAACTGTACACATTATCGTTGGAGCCACACGCAAGTGTGAGTAACGATCCAAGAGCAAGTCTTATCCGACACTATTCCAATGATATCCCGGACGTGAGTCTGAGCGAGATTAGAATGGCTCTCCAGCACCTTAAAAACGGCAAGGTCCCAGGCGAGATTGGAATTACAGCGGAACATCTGAAAGCGGATGGAAAACCGGTACTTGAAGTCCTTCAGAAGCTCTTTAATTCCGTCCGCCATGGTAGCACTACGAAGGTGTGGAGCAGAAGCACAGTGGTCTTGTTCTTCAAGAGAGGTGACAACGCTCTCTTGAAGAACTACAGACTAATTTCCCTTCTGAGCCGTGTCTACGTGCCGTTTTCGAGAGTCATTACAAATCGTCTCGCACGCAGACTCGACGACTTCTACCCTCCCGAGCAAGCCGGCTTCCGAAAAGGCTTCAGTACCATAGACCACATACATATCCTACGGCAGATTGTACAGAAGACCGAAGAGTACAATCTGCCACTTTGCCTGGCGTATGTGAACTATGAGAAAGCCTTTGATTCCGTCGAAATTTGGGCGGTGCTACAGTCCTTTCAGCGGTGCCAAGTTGACTGTCGGTATATCGAAGTGCTGAAGTGTTTGTACAGTAGGACTACGATGGCTATCTGAGTACAGAACCAGAGTTCGAAACCTGCCTAACTGCAGAGAGGTGTAAGACAGGGTGACGTTGTATCACGGAAACTTCACCGTTGTATTGGAAGAGTTTTTCAAGCTACTGAACTGTAAATGATACGGTATCAATAGCAAGTACATCACTCACCTTCGATTTCCTGACGATATAGTCCTTACGGCAGAGTCGCTGGAGGACCTAAGCACTATGCTCAATGAATTCAATAGTGTCTCCCAACAGATAGGTCTTAAGATGAACATGGACAAAACAAAGATCCTGTTTAATGTCCTTGTTACACCTATGCCGGTAGTTGTTGGGATCACTAAGCTTGAAGTTGTTGATGAGTAAGTTTACCTGGCACAAATAGTCCGATCAGCTAAGTCCAACTTTGACCGAGAGGTTAATCGACGGATTCGATTCGGCTAGGCAGCGATCGGGAAATTACAACACATCTTCTCGTCAGGTATACCTCAAAACCTAAAAACGAGTGAGTAACAACCAGTGAGTAAACAAACGAGTAAGTAACCACTGGTAACACGCACTGGTTGTAGAACTGTACAACCAGTGCGTGTTGCCAGTGGTTACTTATGGATCTGAAACGTGGTCTTTCACTGCTGGCCGTATGACAATCAAGGTCGCTCAGCGAGCTATGGAAAGGGTTATGCTCGGGGTTTTTTTGCGTGATATACTTAGAAATGGGGATATCCGCAGTAAAACCAGAGTGACGGACATAGCCCAACGGATTAGTACGTTGAAGTGGCAATGGACCGGCCATATAGCTCGAAGAACCGACAACCGATGGTGAAAAATGGTTCTCAAGTGGCAGCTTTGTACTGGTAGGCGTAGTGTATGGTGACCCCACACTAGATGGAGCGACGACCTGGTAAGACATGCAGGAAGTCGATGG